ATGAGGTATGTTTAGGGTTAGGGTTAGGGTTAGGGTTATGGTTAGGGTTAGGGTTAGTGTTAGGGTTAGGGTATACTTCTGTAGTACAAGTCTGGTACACTTTGTGTATACATATATGTACCTCGGGTACATATCTGTAGTACCTCATAAGACAACGACCCCTTGAGCGTAATTGTGCCGTAAATTAACTGGCTCGATCGCGCGAGTTCTCGCAATTCGCCGCCGCTCGCTATTGAAGTTTCACTATATCGTCCGATTAAAAACAAACGAACCGAACTCGTCGAGCAACGAGTTGAAAGATCGCCGCTGCGCTCGGGCGACACGCCGACTACCGACGGGCGACCGCACTCGCGTAAAGGTCATTTGGACGTGTCTAGTTTATGTCGACGGCCATCTTGGATTCAGCAACCATGTTAGTAAGACTCGAATCGTAATAGGGTCTTTTTCGAATAAAAACGTAGTGGGTTATCTACTGTCACCGTATGAATTTGCATGCTGAAGTAAATCACGGTAGGTTGAGCAATTCTAGATTTGATTTCGAGATTCGAGAACACTACTAGTTTTATAACTCCACTATCTTGTAGGCCATCTTGGATTTGGCGAGCGTTTTAAAGAAAAAAATCGAAATGGGCTGTTATGAGAAATATCGATAACGAGGTTATGCGCCATCATGAAATTATCAAGCCGCGTTTCAACTCTCTTCGCATGTACCTCAAAGTGCCGACTTTACTTCATGTTTATATACGCCATGTTGCTAGACGGTCACCGTGTGGCCTGCCTGCGCGCCGGCAGAGTATAGGCAAGAGTTGCACGGGGTAACGCGGAACGGGCAGGCGTTGATCGCGTCTTGATTACTCGCATTAATTCATCATTATCGGCGACATGCAGAGCTTCTGCGTACGACGTGCAAGCAAACGCCCGGAGATGACGTCGTCACCCACGTGGCGCCCCCGGTAATAAAGAACGAAGCCGCGAGAGCGTGCCAGAGGCTGCGTGGGTAGACATGCAACGCGCTAAATTCGTATAGAAGGCCCGTCGCCGCAGTCGCAGGCTATTTCTACGTAATCAGCCCGTAATTGCATGCTGGTGCGAGAAATGATTACTTGACCGATGACGTAAGCAGTGCGGTGCAGAACCAGGATGCGCGTGTATACGCACACGAGGTGAGACGATCAGCTGCCTGGTGAGAGACTAAATCACAAAATCACACATGAGACTATAACACCGGCCCTGAAGCCGGCGGCGGATCAAACGGGCAATGAACACGAATGTGCGGTGTATTGTTAATTCAGATGCGCGACATACACGCCGTTGTTGCGTGGCTACGGTTAAATGTTGCGGTCACTCACTCGTACGAACACACATACACCCACCCACACCCTTACACCTCCACCCACCCACACACACACACACACACACACACACACACACACACATGCACACACTCACTCACTCACACACACACACACACACACACACACACACACACACGCACACACACACACACACACAACAACACACACACACACACACACACCACTCACACACACACCACAACACAACACACACCCACACACATTGCACCACACACACAACCACACCCGCACAACACAACACACACACACACACACACACAAGCGCACACACACACAACACACACCTTACCCTCCCCCACACACAACACAAACACACAACCACACACAACATGCACACCAACACCACACACACACACACCACACATGCACACCCACACACACACACAACACACACACACCCACAAACACACACACACAGAACACATTGCACACACACAACACACCACACACACACACACACACAACACACACACGACACACCACACACATCCACCACCCCACAACACAACACACACACACACCACACAACACACACACAACACGCACGCACACACACACACACACACTCGCACACATCATTTCAGCTACTGTCTAAACGTATGATTTAGCGTTATGATGTGGGCTATTGTGAGTTATGTCATATATATATGTCGGACATATTTACAAGTTGATTTTATTGTCGGTGGTAACACGAAATGTACCGGAGAATAGACGAAGCTGCGAAAATATCATTTCATGACAATATAAGTACACTTACCAAACAACAAATTTCAGCTTAGTATATTCACCTTTCGCATACATAGATGCAATGGGTATGCAATATGCATGATAAGCTAAGAGTTACATTAATTGTGAGTCATATAATATATATAGTGTGTATTCTGTGTATTATGCATTTTTGCAATCATAAGACGCATAGCGATAGTTCGGCAATAGAACATACATGAATGTATATTCTAGATATATTATTGTAATAGAGAGGAAGTCTTAATAGCATTAGATACATCATCCCAGGAGATCATCCGATTTGTAGGATAAACTTGCTTTCGCCTATCGTCACAATCGGGTTTTATATTAAACAAAAACGCGAAAATTTAAAAAAATGAAACAGAAGAATTTAATTGTAAAAAGTAAAAAATTGCTAGTACTATTTCGGTTGGCGTAATCGCTTTAAGGCGCCCTTGCTCATATTGAATTTTTTTAGTAAATAATAAAAATAACAATAATAATTTTTGGAATCCGATCATAATCTGAACCCAAAACTTTGTTCGCAACTTTTATCTGTTGAATTTAATCTCTACTTAATTATCGAGGAAATGCGAGAAATCTGTTATCTCATATGCAAGCCATTATATTTAATGTCCCTGTAGAGCTAGCCCGATTCTAGCTCTAGTACTATAGCCCGCGGATCGCTGCCGCAGGGGCCTCGACTGCCCCTGCCGCCTGCGCCAGCGATCCGCGGGCTATAGTACTAGAGCTACCCCGATTCACACTCGCACTGCCCGACATTGGGTGCTCACGGACGCTTCTACATATACCACGTCTGTCTCACAACACAGCTTTAATTTCTCCATCGCAGTAATAAAACGCGTCATCCTGACTCGTGACAATGGCGCGCCAATATGTCATTAGACACGTGTTTGGATGCCCGCGGTGCCACGCGTCCGGTTCCGCCGCTAATGGATGGGAGAAGGTAAGACATTGCGCGCAGGCGAGTCACCTTACTCCCTAAAAAAGAGCCGCATTTGCACCCGCGATTACATCCCCGCGATTACTTATTAACGTAACGTATTATTAATCGCTAGCTTTTTACATAAGGCCAATCTTGCTTATCAGTGTGCTGGGCAGAGAGTACCATTCTAAAAATACGCGTCATATTAATTAAATACAGTAAATTCTCTTTTAGCCCAGGTACTTTATTACCGGGCTCTATCTATTTAGCAACAGGTTTCCTAAGCGGTGTTTTGAAGTATATGTACTTTGTGCGTACCTGTGAGTGAATGAATGTTATATTCAATTTTACGTGGATCGATTCTCTTTAACAGGTCGTTACCGTTTGTGCTCATAAAATTAATACTAACAGAAATTAACAGTTTTTGACGACAAAATGACATTTTACAATGTTCCCATATGCGACGCATGACTATAAACGCCATGCAGGCACCTACGCTCTGTAACATTAAAGTCTATATGAAGCCAATAAAAGCACGTTTTTTTAAAACAGCAATGTGCAGTTCTCTTGATTCATCTCATTCGATCTGATATTGCTAAACTGCACCGACAGCCCTATATGGAAATTAATACATAACGTAAAGGCAAGCGAGTTTAGCTGTTTACTAATGAAAAACGTATGCTTCAAAACTGTTTGTAAAACGTTTTATTAATCCCCTCAATATCATTGAGAAAAGCTCTAGAATATCTGAAGATTTAATCGAATCAGACAAACTAATAACATGTTACAAACACGATTTCAAAACCTATTCACAAAACTAGCGAGGATGAAATAACCCCTATCGTATATTTAAAGGAATAGAAAGCCCATTGATTATGAAATGTTGACGAATGCTAGAGTAACTGGCACCTTGTGTAGTTAATAAGTACATTACCTTATAGCCAAACGCATATTAATTTGTCGAATATCACTGCTGGTTACTAAAAAAATGTCTAATTGATATACGTAAATTTGGTAATCTGGCGCCAACGCTAAATTGCTTGCCAAGCAATATAGCCTCGAATCGGTTAGGTGACGTGACATGTTGCTACGGGTGTTGAGCAGAGAATTGTTTGTCTAGTGACGGCAGTCGTAATGGAGGTAACGCAGGTTCGTACGATTCGTCAAATTGGGTTCTAATATCCTTTTCCACATATTATATGTTGCTTGTAATCTCAAGATCTTCGTATCTTCATTTATTCTCAAGAGTAAAACCATAACGTACGGAATGCGCACTCAGACCACAAGGATCGAAATCACTGATGATAGCATTGCATACAGCCGAGCGAAAATGTCCGGTGCACTATAATCTGTATGACACCCGCTTCGCCAGTTACGGCCGTCATAGCCGGTAGCGGTTTGAAACTGTCAACAACGGATTAATTTGACTGCGGATTTCAATTAGACATTTCTATACACATTTTCTATACACATTTTCTATACATATTTCCTATACACATTTTAGTAACCAGCAGTGATATTGGACAAACGAATACGCGTTTGGCTATAAGGTAATGTACTTATTAACTACACAAGGTGCCAGTTACTCTAGCATTCGTCAACATTTCATAATCAATAAGCTTACTATTTTTTTAATTATGCGCTGATGTCAGGCCAAACAGTTTGAATTCAGTAAAACCCTATAGTGAGCTGGCGCCGGTGTAAATATCAATCCCGTTATGAATTCATCTGACAAAATCAGGTAAACTTCGAAGAATAATTCAATAAACTACGTTAACGACTGTTCTTTTGCTTGCGCAATAAAGTCTTATGTCACACAAGAAATTTTTGCAGTCATAATAAAATTAGTCCAAGCTAAAACGAAGGGCGGCTACACATGGCTCTGACCAAGAGTGATCTAGCATGCGTATACTAAGCAAGAGTCACAAGAGACACGTAGCACGATCACTTACCGCTCACAATTCTGGTCCCGATTATTGCATCGAGGTTCAGGTCTTGAAGGTTGCCCTGCATAAAGCGCAGTGCGCGATGCAAGGCGTCTATGCTCCTGTCAAGATCCGACCACGCATCCCTCTCGTAAGCACCGTCCGGGATTTGATTGTCAATCAGCGAAGCAGTCGCGACCCACAGCACCGCCAATGCTACAAGAAACCATGCTGGGCCCCTCATAGTCCCGTCTCCCACCTGTAAGCAGAGCGAATCTTAACTTACACCTTAATTATGCACATATATTTACTCGCTCGTTTAAAACCGCTCAAGTTGCCTGCGTCTCAATTGTAAAAAGTGAGTGACACTTACGTGCGCTCCGCAAATGCATGCGAACGCACGCACGTACTCACACGCACAACCACCCAGTCACCCACCCACCCATCCAGCCACCCACATATACATACATACATACATACATACATACATACATACATACATACATACATACATATCATACATAATAATAACACCCCCCCCCACACACACGATTGCAGCCACGCCGCACGCACAACGCGCACCGCGCATACGGCGCACAACACACCACACCCACACACACAACTCACACACAATGACAAACAAGCACTTGCCCGTCATTGCTCAAATATTGGTTACACAAACAAAGATAATTGAACAGCGTTTAATTGAAGGCAATTACAGATATTACATAATTTACTAATTATTATTTTACGCAAACTCGTTCGTGTTACATGTTTGCTTTCAGTATCTTTTTAATATCTAATTAAACGCCTTACTCTTTCATAGTCTGTATTATTTAGTTTTGCTGGGGACTCAGCACCATTGCGCTATGTTACGTAGGCTACTGAGGCAAACTTCTGCACGAAGAGTCGCAATTAAATATAATTTCGGCGCATGTATAGCATCATATATAGTCTCTTTCTCGCCCTTACATCCTTCGCACCTCTCTCTCTCTCTCTCTTCTCTCTCTCTCTGCTTCTCTCTCTCTCTCTCTCTCTCTGTTTCCCTCATTCATTCCTTTCTGCTCTCTCGTCTCTCTTTGAAAATTTTTGAAAAAAGCGGCGCCCACATGATCACAGGCATTAAAGCGACAACGGCATATGATTACAAGCTTCCGCTACGCGAAACACAAGCAGCAACCGGAGAGACAGACGCGCGCAATATCATTTGGTCCAACCACCTTACGACGACATGTGAAACAAAGTCGGCAAGAGAATTTTTACGAATGTAAATAGTGACTTACCTTCCAGAAACAAACTCCACAAGATATTTCATAAGAACAATGTTTAAGATCTGTACAGCTGCTATGCCAAAGCGTAAAGAATATAATAGAGAGGAAACAAACGAAAATATTGATGATCATAAACACTGGAAACGCGTAACAACAAAAATTGCACTGCCCGAAAAACGTAATCGTTTGGGCCCAACTGGTTATGAAAACTGCCTGCTAAAGATATTAATATACGAGCAACAGTGGACAATACGCGAAATAGGCGAAATACGTCGGACTAAACAGCTACCTCTTTCAAGGCAAGACTAGACGAACCTAAGGCATCTTTTCATACGATCAAAACGGAACTCGAAGAACTTAGTAAACATATTTTGAACTTGAAAAGACAACAACCTAGAAACTACGCGTTAAATGGAAGTACTGAGCAAATCGCCCACATACTCGAACACTGCGAAAAACTGCAACCTATGCCTTAACAGGAAGTTTCTACATATTGCGATTGCAAACCTGAGACCGCCGACACTGAACAAGAAAACGAACTTGTTAGTTAACTGCAAGACATAAAGCATAAATTTTTTATCTAAGCGAAACGTTCAATGGTAAATCGTGCAATGAATTCGTTTAGCGCCACGCGCCGCAGCAAGTCACGACAATGACGCGCTTATTGTATCTATTGTATTTCTTTAGAACGCCATCACGCATGAACAATAGATGACATTATGCTGATGTTTTTATACTGCTCGGGGATGTTTTCTAAATAGATACTCTGTATTAGGCACTGATGAGTGTGGAGCTTTCGCTCCACACGAAACAGTTCTGTATGCAATAAACAGAGTCAAAATTTCTACAGTGTCCGTATAACTTTATCTATATTTGCTCTACTCATGGTAGTATTGAGCACTCTCGACACACGAGTTCATAAACAACCATTGGTTGTTACTATATTGGTTACTATATTGGTACAACCTATATTGGTTGTACTATATATATATATAATATATTATGTACATATCATATAGTCGCAGAAAGGTATAGGGTTAACTTATTATACTCCGATGACAATTAATCTGTCTACTACGAAGAAAATGTGGTATAATATAATATAATAATATACATATGGTCTGTATATAATAAAGAACAAATCATCGAATTGTTACTGATCTGTTTCCGTTATCACGCGCACGTGTCGTCTTCATGGTGTATAAGCACCGCGGTGCAGGCGTCAACACTCACCTTTGTTTCTCTAGTTCTGCAGCGCTGCCGCAACACGCCGCCACAAAGAGTCGCTTCACGGGCGTCGTTCCACTAGCACAAACTCAAGTCGGCCGATCGTTATTGCTTCCTAGCTTCGTTCGTAAATACTTTTCATGTCAACTTGGCGATGTACCCACAGACATCAGATTCTGTCTCTACGCGCGCAGCTTCAAAGACTGTGTCATACTTTTATACCCGCCCCGCTAACATCGCTGTTTGCCATACACAAGTGCTTGCAGGTTTGGCGTGAAATCGAATTGAGAACCAACAGGGTAGCTGGGAATCGGCGCATGTGAGTGGAAGAGACGTTAGGAATAGTATGTGTTGTATGCAGTTCGCGTCCAAGCCAAGACATGCGACGTGAATAACACGCGAAAACAAATGATAATTTAATAAATTTTAGTATTTATTTGTATTTTACTATATGTAACTTATACATATACGAATAATTCTATAGTGAATGTAAAACAGAGATTAGATGAGTTGAACCAACTACACAACATGAATGTGGTAACAAATGTTTAGAACATATTTAAATTTAGTTTATAGCGCTCCAAGACGAACGCCTACGCCGTTATGCATTCTAGAACACCACGCACCGCATGTGATTTAAAAAATCGCCGGAATACTTGCCGTCGCTATACGATAAAATATCAACCACGAATTGTACAGTCATCAACATAAACACGTGACATCGTAGGGATGGTGATGACGCTAGACATACAGCTGATTCTTAATAGATCGTAAAACACGTGTAAATAGGCCAAACTAGACTCGGCCGTGTCAACAGGTTAACGCGCGAAGGGTCGCCGACCCATTACCGCCGAAACACGTTGGGCGACGCTCTATGTGACAGAGTAATTAATGACGGACAATGACAGCTGACGTGCGCAATACGACGTGCTTATTAGTGGCAATGGTATAAACATTTGACATGAAGCGATTATACTCGAGTCATCCTAGGCGAACTAATATGGAAGGATTTTGTCGAGAGAGCGAGCTACGAATCTCCGTGAGCTATCATGGAATAAAACTGTAAGTGTGCGCACCACGCGGATTGTATCGACCTGGGGCAACACGGCTACCATCGTAAACGGCATGGTCCCTCTGGCTGCTGATCACTTTCATAGTGTTGCCGCCATATCCAGTACCGCCGTTATCGCCTTCTCCCGTACTTGTATAACTAGTACCGCCATTACCGCTAGTTGACTTGCTGTTACCGCCATATCCGTTGGTTGTCTTACTATTACCGCCATATCCATTGCTTGACATGCTGCTACCACCGTAGCCACTACTTGACTTGGTGCCACCACTACCATAACCATTATTGTTTCCATTACTACTTCCGTATCCATTGCCATTTTTCCTACCGCTTCCATATCCGTTATCATTACCGTTGGTACTGCCATATCCATTGCCATTTTTCCTACCGCTTCCATATCCGTTATCATTACCGTTGGTACTGCCATATCCAGCCATTTTCCTACCTTTATATCCGTTATCATTACCGTTGGTACTGCCATATCCATTGCCATTTTTCCTACCGCTTCCATATCCGTTACCATTACCGTTGGTACTGCCATATCCATTGCCATTTTTCCTACCGCTTCCATATCCGTTACCATTACCGTTGGTACTGACATATCCATTGCCATTTTTCCTGCCGCTTCCATATCCGTTACCATTATTCCTGCCGCTTTCATATCCATTGCCATTTCCGTTGCTTTTGCCGTTTCCATTATCCATTGTATTACTTCTTCCATATCCGTTTCCATTTCCCTTAGCATTTCCGTTACCATTTCCGTATCCATTCGTGTTACCGTTTCCATTCGTATTTTCGTGTTCATTATCATCATCCGTGTCGTCCGCTCCATATCCGCCACCGTTTTTATAATCAGCATCGTCGTCGTTGCCTGTATTACCTAGAACGTGAAGGACTAGTGGATCGTCCGCGTGGGTTCTGTAAATAGTATGAATGGGTGGATCTCTGTAAATCTCGCGGTATTCCACCTTCCGCTCGATGAGAGCAGCCTCAATACCTTCCAGGAAATCGTTAAGTGAGAAGCCATTTAAAAGCTGCGCGGTAATCATCTGCTGCATTACTCCGGGCGGGATGCTACCTAACAGCCCTCGTGGAAGACCTGGAAGCCCTGGAAGCCCTGGGATCCCTTGAAGGCCTGGAATGCCTTGGGTGTCTCCTTCGTCGTCGTCGTCGTCGTCGTCGTCGTCGTCGTTAGGTGATGGCAGCAATTGCTCAAAGGCCGTGCCAATGAGTTGCTGCTGCTCAGAAACCGGTAGAGTGAGGAATCTATTCAGCATCAAATCCGCGTTCTCTGAGGCGACCGAGGGTAACCCAATGCCAGCTGCCTCGCCTATCTGGCCGGAAAATGCATTTATGACTCGCGCTAATAATTGTTGCTGGCCCGCTGGAATTTGGTTTCGGTTTATTCTTCGCCCAGCGAATTGGCGAGTTACGGTCGGTCTACGTCGCGTTGGAATGAGCTGCGTGTCTGCGTCCTGCTCCGGCATTATTCGGTCCTGAGCAGAAAACACCCTTTCGCGTAATCCCTGTATGAATCTATTTGCTCCCGCAGCGTTGCCTTCTCCCTCTACACCCCGCTCGCTCTGGCCGTCGCTCTGTCTAATCAATGCGCGGATTCGCTGCACCAGTGCATTTTGCCCCCTACCCGGGGAACGGTCTCCATCATCATCTTGTGTTCCTGCGTCGGCATCATCGTCATCTTGTGCTCCCGCAGCGTTGCCTTCTCCCTCTACACCCCGCCCTCTCTGGCCGTCGCTCTGTCTAATCAATGCGCGGATTCGCTGCACCAGTGCATTTTGCCCCCTACCCGGCGAACGGTCTCCATCATCATCTTGTGTTCCTGCGTCGGCATCATCGTCATCTTGTGCTCCCGCAGCGTTGCCTTCTCCCTCTACACCCCGCCCGCTCTGGCCGTCGCTCCGTCTAAACAATGCGCGGATTCGCTGCACTAGTGCATTTTGCCTCCTACCCGGCGAACGGTCTCCATCATCATCTTGCGCCCCCGCCTCGGCATTATCGTCATCTTGTGCTCCTTGATCGTCGTCATCGTCACCTTGTGTTCCTGCGTCGGCATCATCGTCATCTTGTGCTCCTTGATCGTCGTCATTGTCACCTTGTGTTCCTGCGTCGGCATCATCGTCATCTTGTGCTCCTTGGTCGTCGTCATCGTCATCTTGTGCTCCTTGGTCGTCGTCATCGTCATCTTGTGTTCCTGCGTTGGCATCATCGTCACCTTGTGTTCCTGCGTCGGCATCATCGTCATCTTGTGCTCCTTGGTCGTCATCATCATTATCTTGTGCTCCTAGGTCGTCATCATCGTCATCTTGTGCTCCTTGGTCGTCGTCATCGTCATCTTGTGTTTCTGCGTTGGCATCATCGTCATCTTGTGTTCCTGCCTCGGTATCATCATCATCTTGTGCCCCTTGGTCGTTATCATCATTATCATCTTGTGCTCCTTGGTCGTCATCATCGTCGTTTTGCTCATCGTCGTCATCATTATCTCTATCAACTTTAAGCCCGACTGCGTTTCCTCTACCTTCATTTTCGCCCTGATTCTCCTCTTCAACTTCTGCGCGCAGCGATCCAGTATTGAGCCGTATCGTTGATTTCGACGCGAGCAGTGTTTGCAGTTGCTTCACAACATCAAATCCGATTCCAGCTGAATCACTTTCTTCCGTCTCTGTCGAATCAGTGCCGAGGAAAGATGAGAAAATGTTTAAGAAATCAATCATGTCGTCAGTATCCATTTGTCCAGTAGACTGTTTGGGTGGGTCGCCAAACGGTACCGTTATTCCTTGAGAATCAGTCGTCCCATCCGTGGATCCGTCTTGTGTGGTCGGATCGTCTGTTGTCTGACCGTGCGCGCATGACTGTAAGAAAATCGGATTGTTTTGTAAGTCGCGACCCTTACTGGTTCGTTCTGCATATGAAATCACCATCTTAGCGCTACTCAAAATACGTTATAGTTGCGTCATCTTTTTACTCCATTCGTCGAATAGTAAATAACGATATTATAATGCGATGCCTAGCGAAACGCTCTGCTTGCATGCTTACCGCAATAATCAGAATGCCAAGAGCCGCAACAACAACGCAAGTCTTCATGATTGCTGCACCGTATACCTGTGAAGTATCAAAGAAAGCACGGTAACCCTATATTAGGCGTTAAATGCATTACGCGGCAATGGCGCAGACATAACTGTCTTACTTTCTCGCAACAAACGCATTCACGTCTAATTCTCCCGCGCAACGGGTGGCGCGTATAATTGTGGCAAAGGGTTATAACACCGGTCGCACCATATTGTAAACACTTTTTGTCACGCGATTATCACCTATAGTCCGCCACTGTAAACTAGCGAACTCTCAACAGCTCACTTACCGTCCGTGCGGAGCTGAGCGCCTTCGGTAACCTCTGCCTGTTCAATGCCGACTCAACGCGGAGCAATGCAGAATATAGCAGCGCGCCGTACAAGTTTAAGCGTCACACTCGGTGCCGATGCTTGCGACGATATCGCTGAGCTGAGAGTTTCCAGCTTTGAGCACAACCTAGCAATTTGGTTGGGGACTAACGCCCTACGGGCTAGAGGGTAATGTTCCGTTTGTTCCGGCATTGGCAGCGCGAAGCGCAGCTAACTACTGGCCGGTGTCTTGTTTGACACAGTCGTGACTAATAGTGTGTAATTATTCAGCTATTTTCAGTAATCTTTCTTCCGTAATCGACCTGCGAGTGTGTTACCTCGTGTCTAGAGCTCGGCGGAGGCAGTTACTGCACAGATTTTCAGGTCTACAGCTATTTCAGATGATAGATCGATTTACAATTATATATCCCGATTCGAGTTTTTTGTTGATATTAATTAATTAACCTAAGATCGTTGATCGATTGTGTGAAGATAGTTTGTGATGTTATATACGAGTAAGAGCAGGGGGCCGAAGGATTGTAACACAGACTAGGCTAACTGCCCTCGTGCAATGACCTCAATAGCCGACCCGACATGACCTATAGCTACACGGTGCGAAACTGACTTTTAAATGTACAGACTGGCCAATGACAAATTGTGTAAGCTAGAGATTGGCGTGCATAATTTAAGCAGGCAGACCCCTTGCGTTTACATCTGGTTCGGCAAATCGGGGTGCGGAATTCGTTTTTTATGATGTTAAGTCGTTGGTTTCTAGCCTGGGGTCCCGACCTAATTCAGGGTCGTGGGGTCTTCAGTAATGTCGCGGAGTGTGAAGAAAATCACACGCCAATCTGCACTGTTTCATCGGTGATACGTGCTGCTCTGTGGAGCCATCCCTGTCTCTGTCGTGTGCGGACTATCCGGACGCTAACCTCTCTATTAATACGACTTTGCTGCGGAATGAAGAGCATTGTGCGACCGTTAGAAGCCTCGAACGCAGCCAACATTTAACTAATTACGACGTAATATTCGTTATACGAAAATGACCGAGTCCCGATTAAAGGGCGATAGGATATAGATTTGAGTGGATTAAGCATTTATTATTGATTAATTAATAAATTGTATTGTAGTTTTTTATTAAGATTTTAAGTATAGCGCATCTCCTCTATCCTAGTATTGTGAACTTTACTCGCAAACGCATACGCCGCAAAACAAATAGAATTGTCGAATATGTTACGGCTTCTAATTTCAATCTTCACCAAAATGACATGTGTAGACTCCAAATGATATTGTGGACCCTTTATTTATAACTATCACAAAACTATCATATGGAACGAAATAACGTAAGAAAATAGGTATGTGAAACTGTTTTTATTCAGCGTGAATTCATACGTGCACACATCACGTGGAATAAATCTACAGAAATTTACAATAACTGGAAAGGTGTCCGGTAAGCGACGTACATATATGAACACGAGAAATGCAATGTGTGAAACGTGTGCGATAGTACCTCACATTAGTTCAGATCTATTCTTCATTCTACATCTAGTCGTTTACAAGTAATTTTTTTTTATTGGAGGTACATCAACAGAGACGTTTGTGATGCAGGTTAAAACTACGTAGGGTCTAAACACCCCCGCTTAAACTCACATCACTCTCGATGATTATACTCCAACCAATCACCACTAAATGTTGCCTAAAAATATTGCAGGATATATTAAAAAAAGAGCGCATGTACATATACTCCATATAGATCACGTTAATGAAATCGAGTTAAAACGTATACAACGATGAACGTACGAATGCATGTAAAAGTACAAAACTATACAGCCGCGAATGCATTCTTAGTTCGATAAAACCGTCTTCTTACAATATCCTGCGATAACACGCGAACGAGAGTTGCTACCTAAGAATTACAGCGATAAGGCCGATAGCGATGCACAAAAGCCCGTGCATGCGCTCTGAACCGTTGCAGAGGTCGGTTTGACAGTAGCACAAGCTGGTCATGTAGCCAGATACGAGCTCGTCAGCACATCCGTACTGGTCTCTCTTTCTCCAGTCGATCTGATCTGAAGTCGTGCGCAGATGGCAATATCGTTTAACGACCTTTACACCTAAAGCAAAAGGAAAGCGTGTAAACACGTACGTGTGCGTGGCGTTTGCTTGCGCGCGTCTCTCTCGCTCTCTGTCTCTCTCTGTCTCTCTCTCTCCCTCTCTCTCTCTCTCTCTCTCTCTCTCTCTCTCTCTCTGTGTGTGTGCGTGCGTG